AGACATTGCTTAACAAGTAGAAGGACTCAATTTTGACTAAAAAAATAAACCAGGGGAAAAATATAGACAAATAGCACACATTTAGCAGCAACAGGAAATATTCTAATCTTATAAAATAGATTAGAGAAATCTCAGTATTTGTCAGTTATAAAAGCAAACTGCTATATAATTAAACATAGGTATATCTACATCTTTATACCCATACTCAGAATACTGTATAGATATTTTATTTTTGTCATGCACAATCATTTTCCTTATTGCTTTATTATTTTACCTCTATATCCAAGTCTATCACAATAACCCATTTGCAATAACCTGCTTCCAATGTTCCCAAACACATGAAAATAAAAACTCTCATTTGGAGTATATTTCAATGACAGCAACAGTCCCACAAAATCTGTCTTCTTTATATTCCATCCTCAGAACACATGTGGACTATCAAATGGCACACCAGCACCTGCCTGAAATCTGCATTGATAATAGTACAAGTCAAACTATGCTTAATGTTAAGGCTAGTGTTTAATGTTCCCACAAAGCCTCATGCAGTCATAGGTGGGGCTTTTCAGAGGTGACTGGGTCTAGAGTGTGTGATGCTGGGATCAAGGGCACATGATTAGTAAATCAGCTCACTGATTGGTTTGGCATAGTTCTGGGTGCCGGTAATGGAAAGGCCCATCCTAGCTGTGAGTTCCCTGCCCTAAGGGTGTGTAGCCTGACAAACTATAAGGCACAGAAAGAGGGCTGCTCTTGCTTGCTTGTTTGCTGCTTCTCTACTTTGCTGCTTGCTACTTTCTGTTTTCCTGCCCACTGTCCACTATTTCTCCTCTGCAGTTCCCCATTTGCCATGCCAAGCTGCCTTGGAGCCAAGCCAACTATGAACTAAAACCTCCGCCAACTGTGAGCTACAATAAATCTTATTTCCTTTAATTCTGGTGTCAGGTATTTTGTCTCAGCAATGAGAAAAATAAGTAAGACACTTATGTTTAAGTAGCCCATTAAAATTCAAACAATATTGAAGCCTCAGCAATGGAAAATTATACAATGCTTCCCCTTATCTTCAGAGAATACATTAAAAACCCCAGTGGATGCCTAATACTCCCAGTAATACTAATCCCATGCACACTGTGCTTATTTCTATGCATACATGCATGTGATGAAGTTTAATTCAGAATTAGGCACAAAAAGAGATTGACAATTAGTAATAAAACACAACCATTGTAACAGTGCACTGTAATAAAAGTTATACACATATGCTCTCTCTCAATATTTTATGTACCATCCCACCCTTTTTTCTTTTGTGATTCCTTGAGATGACACAGTGCCGACACAATAAGATGAAGTGAGTCAAAAGACCTGGGCATTGCAATATAGCGCTAGGCTACCACACAAGGGTGACTTACACACAAGCACTGCCATACCGTGAGAGATAATCTGACACCAAGATGACTTCTAAGTGACTAATGGGCAGGTACTACATATGATGTGGATACACTGCACACACAGATGATTCATATCACACGTGGAACAACATGATATTTCATCATGCAGCTCAGAAAGTCGTGCAGCTTAAAATGTAGGAGTTATGCATTTCTGAAACTTTGCATTTGATATTTCACATCATGCTGACTGAAACTTTGAAAACCAAAACTGAATAAATGAGAGCTATAATGCAAAGGCAGAGAGATTTGCTTCCATTGTATTGTCAGGGTTGGCAGTGATTATTTTTTTGTTTGTGTTGCTTAGAATTAATATTGGATTTTACTTCTCTGAACCATAAAATCTTTCAAGTTCAAATTGATGTGCATTTTCCCCATGCAAAAGAAGTAAATCATTCGTTCATAAAAATTACTCAAGTTAAACACTCCTCTGGAGTGTTATTTAATGAAAAAGAAGCCATTTACTTAGCAGCACTTGCACTAGTTTCCTACAAATGCCATATCAAAGTATCAGAAATTGGGCAGCTCTAAAGAACAGAGTTATTCTCCCACGGTTTTAGAGTTAGAAGGTGTTGAAATCCAGGTGCTGGTCAGTAGCGCCATGTTCCCTCGGCGGGCTTATAAAACACGGCCTTCTTTGCCTCATCCCAGCCGTTGGTTGCTTTCAAACACTGGCATGTTTTGGTTTACAGCTGCACTTCTCTGATTTCTGCTTCCATCTTCACATACCTTCTCTCTGTCTCTGCGGGTCTCAAAATGAGACTAGTCATTGGTTTAAGGGTCATCCTTATGTGGTATAACCTCTTTTCATTTGATCATATGGCATATAGCCCAATGTCCAGATGAGGTCACATCCACGGGTCTCAGGATAGGACTTCAATGTATCCTTTTTGGGGATGCAAGTCAACCCACAATAGCACTCATGGAAAAACTGAATTAGTATAAATTAGTGTAACTCAAAGATGTAAATCTCTCGTCCTTTCTGTTGGTTGAAATGGAGTCGTGTGGAACACTAGCCTTTTCCTGACTCCCTGCCCTCCTTACAGGGGACCTGTCTTCCTCCCAGGGTTATCCCGGGCGCTGCTTATCCACAGCTGTCAAACACATGAGTTGTTTCTCCCTCACTACCTGATCATTCTTGGCCAGTTTTCCCCATTCCTCAGAAAAATGTTACTCTGTGTCTGGGATAGTGAGATCTTCAGTTGTTGATCTGGGTTAGGTATATATAACCTAGTGACTTGCCTGGACACCTTTTCCATTCTTAAATACTACAAAGGATGTTTCAGTACTAGAAGTAATATATAGCCTTTCACAATAAATCACTCAAAATCTGACGTCCCTTTATGAGCACTTCATGTAATTAATAGGAAAAAAAGAAAAACTAAATAAAAAGAAAAATGTAATCAAGTCAGTTGACAACCAGGAAAAGATAATTAAAATGATCCTGTTTTGTTTCTCAGTTTCATTAACATGCAAATGAGATTCATGAAGTTTGATATTGTGTTTCAGCAAGAGCCATAGAAACAAATTAAGAATGAAAATGAGTCCCACTGATGGATACTCCTGACGAGTACATAAATTAGTGAAAAATATGATTGGATCTAATTAATGAAATATATTTTTTCTGATTTACTGGACCTCAACAAACAAAATAAAAATACATAGATAAATTTTGATTCTTTCTGGTGGGCCAAATTCTGTGAAAGCTGTCACGACTCACATGAAGTGCTGGTGACTGTTACACTCCACTTTATTCTGAAGAGGAACATGGGATCCAGGCTTACTCTCGGATCAGGGCTGTGATCCCAGCATTCCTGTTGGTAGAACCATGGCCACAGGATCTGCTAGAGCCCTCAAAGGGACTAAGAGAGTCTTAGTCTGCTTGCCTGGTCCCTCAGGGATTCCAAATTCCAAATAGGAAGAGATTGTCCTATGTGACCGACTCTTGTCGTTACAAGGTACTTAATAGGGACACAAACACATTCAAGTGCCCTCATATATCCCATTAGAGTGTAAGGGTCGAGAATCTCGCCGCGTGAAGGAAGACTCCAAGAGACGCTCTCTCATGCAATAAGCAAGGGGAGTTTATTTACCAGGCATGCATGGGGCTCACTGAACACGCAGGAACAGAGAGCCCCGAGCCGGAGTTTAGCCAGACTTTTAAACCAAAAAACCACAAAAGGCGGGTATTTTGCAAGCGAACTTACAGAAGCAGATAGCATTGGTTAGTTTAAACTGACCTTTACAATCATTGGTGGGGGATTGGCGGGGAGATACAAGAATGAGGAAGTTTAGATTAAGGGCAGGGGAGTTACTCTGAGTGGCTTTTCCGAGAACAGGATGGGAGTTTATTTTCTGAAACTCTTAGCACCTCTTGGGCAGTCTCACACTGCTTATCTATAGCTGGAGGACAGCTGGCTCCCATAAAATTTTTCCTTTATAAGAAATCTTCACACTCAGAAGCGTAAATAAGTGGGTATATCAAATAATATGAGATAAAATTTCTTTTCTTTTGAGATAAAGTTTCTAAATAAACAAACAAAATCATGTAAAAGTGTTATATATATGTCTGTATTAAAATTATAACGATGCATTATATATTAAGTATAATGTGGACCAGATAGAAAAACTTAACACACACACATATACACACACACACAATCTACGTGTTACATCCAAAGTTCACTATGCTTAACATTAAGCAACAGCACCAAGGTAACACCAAGGATAAGTTTAAAGGAAAGGCTAACTAATGTGGCATGAAAGAAAGAGATAATGAATGAGGGAAACATGTTTTTAATAATACGTAATTCTGGTCTCTGTTTTTGTAGCTGTTAAAAATATTCTCTATTTTAGTATCACCAAGCCACTTTCGTTCAGTGTGTGTGCAGATGAGTTTTACCTTAGCATTTATGAAAAGCGGTCATTATAATACTGTGACTAGGAACACAATGTTTTGAAACTCTCTCTTATTTCTACAGCAAGTGGCATTTAATTATCCCTGCTTTCTTTTAAACCAGACATCAAACCCAACCTAAGAGATAGTAAACAGTATGAACTGAGGGTTCCTAAAGGAGCACAAAAGCTTTATGAAGTTCGTATTCCTCAACAGCAAAGAAAATCATGTCAACCACAGTGAGAATTAAACAACTGAGGGATTATTATTTTAAGTAACTAGCATCTTTAAAAATTATGTCTTGCAAACTTCTATAATGTGAAATAGAAAGCCAGTTAAGTCTTCATCAGTATAGTATCTATAATGCACACTGTTGTAGAAAATGTATTTTATAAGATGCTCAAAAGCCTTCTCAGATTGAAAAAAATCAATCCTTTGCATGTGGACATGATTACACTGGATTTTCAAATAAGAAGTGTCACCTTGCAGTTCCAGATAGAATCTAGATGTCATATATATCTCACGAGTTTTAAGCATTGGCTTATTTATAAATGCACTTGTTTTTATGATATACCACTTACAATGTTTTTGAATATATCACTTTTTATTAAAATAGAATGGAAAATCAGTGCAATTCACCATGAACTGGAGGAAAAAGACAGACTCACCCTCTCTTCTGTTCAGCCTGGCAAAGCCAGGACCATGGCTGCTGGAGAGCTCAGAAGAACTGCTGAAGGATGCCTGAGGCAAATCAGATACAAGAGGATCATCACATTCATCTACTGGGGGAAAGGGCAACTTTGGGTTGGCCAGCTCCCTTGAAATCAACAGATGCAACAAACAAACAAACAAATACGATACCACAACCTAGAATCCCAGATCCCCTGGGGGTACTGTATGGATGGCTTAGTAAGTTTAGTAAGGAAAAGAACTTAAAGACAGGGGGATATGGAATGAGAGAACAAAAATGACATAGAAGTTACAAAATTATATTCTCAATTATGGTGCGAAAGGTTTATCTAAGCAAGTAACAAAAATCCATCATCATCAATAAAAAGATATAGGTATAAATTTTAAAACACTGTAATTAAGAATCTATGATTTCTAAAAGATGCAAAATATAAAAATCACAAAATGTATAAAGTACATAAAAATATATGAAATATGAGTGGTTTTGAACACATAAAAATTTATAGATGTATGTGCAAGTTGGCAGAGTATATAAAAGAAGTACCAGAAGTATGTAAGAAAGAAACATATGAACCAGTGTATCATCACTGTGCCAAGTAAAACATAAACCATTTTAGTTCAGTTAAGAAACGACTGGAAAAAGTGGTGCAACGTCCAACCAGAGACCTCATGGGACAGAACGTAACTGTAAATTAATACTCAAACTTAGTAAAAAGAAACATAAATCAGCAGTACAATTGGATGCTATTTTTCAGTCAACTGGCAAAATATAAGAAGTCAGCTGATGCCACATCATGGAGAGAATGAGACCAGTGCTCCAATACTGTTGTTGGAGCATAAACGCATGTGATGGCTTCTAAAAACAATTTATAGCTGGGTGTGGTGGCGCTTGCCTGAAATCCCAGCACTCGGGAAGCTGAGGTAGGAGGATCACTGCGAGTTTGAGGCCAGTCTGGACTACAGAATGAGTTCAGGACCAGCGTCCTGAACTATATGGGGAGATTCTTTATGAAAAAAAAATTATAATTAACTTATACATTTGAACTTTTACATAACCCAAGTTCCACCAGTCCTGTGGAGAGGTAGGTCCTTCTGGGCAGAGCCTGTTCATGATGAACCAAGGACTCAAGGAGCTTTGACTTTTTACCTACAGGTGTTGTACCTGAACAATTGTGTGTGTGTGTGTGTGTGTGTGTGTGTGTGTGTGTGTGTGCACGTGTGCACATTTCTGCATCTCCAATGGAAAGAGAGAAGTTGTAAGGAACTGGGTTTCAAAAGCCTGCATTTCTGCACCCAAAATGTACAATTTTGCTAAGAAAAGCAAAAACAGTCATTAACCACTCATAGTCCAATGGTGAAACAACAGGTAAATGAATCATACTCCTGTTCACAGTAAAATAATATATGGCAGTCAAAGGGAGTTAAAGCAATATTAAGCTAAAAGGTTGGCTCTTTGGAACAAAGTTTCTGGTGAAAATAACTGAGTTGCCGAAGACCATATACTACATGTAAATAATTTTGACAATCTGAAAAAGCTCAGCTAAGCAATATGTTACTTGGAAACGTGACTTCAAAAAAACTATTTTAAGAAAAAAATGAAAATTAAAATTGAGGACTGTGTTTACCTCTGCAGGAAGGCAGAATCAAGGTAAGAGGAGAGTACACAGGTTAGACGGAAATGGTAATGTTTTAATTTTTAGCATAGATGGACCATGATAAGTTTGTATTTGGTTATGAAGCTTCACACATACACATGCAAACATACACAAACACAACAGTACATATCAATACATATATAAGGTTATCTATTAAAGTATCTAGATGTATTCTCTATTCTCTTTCTGTCCTTTGGTCAAATATATTTTTAATAAAGTACAAGGAGAAGGGCAAAGGATAATAATTAATTCCTGTTTACTATGATACCATATACAATTTATTTAGCTAATGCTCTATAATCTATATAACCATTCTGCATTATAATTAAAGTACTTGTCTTTTCATTCTATTATGATCCAATTTTTATTATAATCAGAAAAAAGACTCTTCTCATATTTAGTATTTAGCATATACTGGTAAGTAAAAATCATGTGGGCTATTGTTTCAAATGTTTTAACTGACAGTAAGCAATTTAACATTTTAAATGAATCCAAAAACTACTAGATTCACCTGAGATTTTATGAACCTCTTTCTGCCTGAACATAATTTGTTCTTAAATGCTTTTCACAAGCAGTTGCCTAAATAGCATTTTGGTTTTTTTAAAATTATCTCATTATCATTTAGAGTCCACTTTTTCTTCTTTCGTACCTTAAATTCTTTAGCTAACTGTTAGAAAGACAGTTTCTGCATGTCTATTGATTGGCTTAAGTACTAACAGAAGCCAATCTGCTTGTAATTCAAGTATTAAGGAGTATATACATAAAAAGACATTCCATCCATGGAGTGGTGAAGGGAATTCTGATGATACCCCATTAGACAAGCAACAGCAAAAGCCCTTTTATGCACTGGGAAGACTACAGTGTGTGTATGTGTGTGTGTGTGTGTGTGTGTGCTCACAAATATACATGGAGTATGTGTGCCCCACATACAAGGGAGAGTACATGTATATGTTGTGTGTTCAGTAGGACAACAGTGAATTTTGGGTCTTTATCAGTATGCAGTGTGTGATGAAAAAGGGTGCTTAACTGAATTTTACAATCAATTATGCAGATTCCAATCGACATTTTTTTTAAAATGTGAAATGCCTCTCTGGTACAATCAGTCTAGAGGGCATATATTTATTACCCATTTGTTTTTGCCAACTATAAACTGAGAATCAATACCGTTCCACTTTTACCTTTAAAAGAATGGAATTAAATGAGAGAAGTGGGTCTTTTCCCACTTGATGGGAGAGGGACGTGGAGTGTGAGAAAGGGATGATGAATGGCAGTTGGGGGATGCTGATATTTGGTAAAATTCCACTTGACACGGCACCAGCATTTCCTACGAGCTCATCATTTTCCATGTGTGTCTTTAGCAATGAAATAGCTTAGTGCTCGCATGATTAGTGAGCACTTCGTACTGAAAACTTACAATCTGACCTGCACTGACTCATTTTGACCCCACCTCATTGACAAACTAATAGTATTATCTTACAGTTGAGGTCACTTTGGCATGGAATTTGGCTCATTTGTTCATCCCACTGTGGAAGAACCATGATATTTACAAAGCAAGTTGAGGTCCAGAGTCTAAGACCTGGAAGACCATGGTTATAATTATTATTCCTTTGAGTCTGGGGAGTCGGAATTTCATCAGACACTATAACAGCACCAAGTAAGCCTCTCTGAGGACCGTGTACTCCAATTCCAGGTTTGCCAGTCTGGTTGCTTACTCCCCACTTGGTCTTCAACAGCCTTGACACCAGGGAAGAGGACTCGGCAGGGAAGAGTCTGGAGAGATTAAAAGGAATATTTTGCTCTGAACATGAATGAAATGGAACTCTGGATTAGCTGTAAGTCTCCAGTGAATTTATTCCCAGAAAACCAGTTTTCTCTGACTGCAGCAGTAACATGCAGGTGACACACTTGCAAATCTGAGGATGCTATTTCTGCTCAGAGAGATCCCCTCACCCCTGGCGTTTAACAATACCTAGAGACACACTGGTCATCACTACTAGGGTAGGGCACCACTCGCTTCCAGGAACTTGAAGGCAGGGAAGCTGCTGAACATCCTATAAGGCACAGGCCAGCCCTCCGTGATGAATAATTACCGAGTCCCAAATGTTAATAGCGGTGAGGTTGGGAAATACTTCTACACTCTGGTAAAAGCAACCCCCAAACTAGAATTCTGCTGGAGTAATTTCCCAGCTAGAACTCCTCAGCTCCTCTCACATTTCAGTGATTGCTAGTTTGAATTTACAGCTTTTCACATGCAGATAAAAGTTCTTTAGAGTATACAGGAATATATTCATTTAAGAATGGGAGTTTGGAATCTGAAATATTGTCACATGTTATTCTAGCTCAAGATCATTGTATTTTTAAAATTAGATACCAGATCATCATAGTGTCCCTGTCCCTTCAGCGCTGGACCACAGGAAGCTTTGTTGGTTATAAAAAAGAAAAACAAAAAGGACAGGGAGACAGAAGGCTGCATTAACTGGTGAAATGTAATAATAACGGACGCCAAACATTCTATGGAAGCTTGTGTGATTCAAAATGGTGGTGGGGCACCTTGGGTTATTGGTTTCTCCTAATAGAGGAAGAAAACAAACTCATTACTACATTTTTCCAAAATTATATTACATTATTTGACTTTTTCACAGTCAAATTAGAATTTCCACTTTAACCTTGGTAACAGTTGGAAATGGTAAAACTACAATTTTGAGTCTTTTTGGTTAAAAAAAAAAAACACACTCTGATTACACCTAGAGAGTTTTAATGAATTCTGTTAGACTATCCATGCTAGAGAGAAAAGTTACCTAACTCAGATGGAGACATTTTTACACACACATACACATATACACACAAAGATACACAACTCCATGGCTTTCAGGTCAATAACTCAGGAAAGTCACTACTTACCCTTCACATGAGTGAAAAATTTAACTATTGTCGTTAAAAAGACAGTGATAAATGAGATGGCTGGCAGGTTGTACATATGAAGACACTTGGAGCCTTGTACAAATAAAAACACAAACTATATTGAAAGTATTTTAATATAGCTCAATGAAAAGTAAATTAATTTCACTTACAAAAGTCTCTAAAGCATAATTCTCATAAGTAAGTAAAAGCTGCTCAGATTTTAATAAAAATAATTCAATTTTCTTAAGCAGTGTGTAATATTATGTATACCAAGATAATAGGTGGATATTATTGTGTGGTTGATTTTCAGTGCTTTACTCTATTAACTCATTTTGTTCTGAAAAATAACCTGTGTTATGTGCTGCTATTAACTGCTGGGAAAACTGAGGAAGAAGAGAAACAATATGTTTGGAAACTTACCACAGACACATTACTGTACTAATAGGTTGCAGAAACCCAGACAACATTAGAACCCAGGTAATACAGTACCCGATCTTCTATTTAGAGTTAATGCATTGTTGAAATAAGTGTTGGTAACCTAAATTATATTTTACCAAATGATATGGTTGATTTTCTGTAGTGCTCAGCTTAGCTGTCTCTAAGTAACCATCTCTGGTATTTTTTTTTTTTATTATTTTAAAGAGAAAACAGTGTTGGTTTATTGAAAGGAACTGTTAATGTGTACTTGTTTGATCAATCTTACATACCCATATCTGGATATATGTGAAACCATTTTGAAGATAACAATATGTAATATAATAACCATTGTTAATATCCTATCACCTTTGTAGTGGATTGATAACTCAACTTACAACCCTCAGCTGAACTGAGTAAGTGTGGTGCTGGGTGTGCGAGGCCCACCTGGGGACTGTTGCCAGCAGAATGGAAGGCAGACCTAGAGAAGAAAAAAGGCTGTTGGGAGCTAAGAGAGGCTGTTGGGAGCTCGTGGAAGCTGTAAGGAGTTCTTGGTTGTTTTGGAGGAGCTCGTCATGCTGGCTTTCCCGATGAACTTGGCTGTTTTCATCCTCCGAGGAGCTCAGGACCTTGCTGGCACTGAGAATACCTTTGGTTTACTTTAGGGGATCTTTGGTCCTCACTCTGAGCATCGCTTCCTGGCTACGGAGGGGAAGATGGTACACTGCCAGTCTCTGGGAGAAGCTTGCTGCGTTGGCTTTCCTGATGGGAACTCGGCCATCTTGATCATCAGAGGAGCTCAGGACCTCACTGTTGCTGAGGATGGCTGTGGTACCTTTCAGGGGAGCTCTGATTCTTCTGAGCATCACCTCCTGGCTCCAGGACAGATCCCTCAGCCTGCTAGCACAGATCCTTCATCCCGGTGGCACAGACTTCCTAGATTCCACCACTGACCTTGGGGCCTTCCCAGCACAGATCCATGAAACAGGCATGCATGAGATATTGTTATGGGCTCTGGGCTTCCAGTTGGATTCATGGGAAGCATTGTTAGGAGCTCTAGGTCTTAAGCTGGACTCATGCAAGACATTGGATCTAGGCCCTCAGCAAGATTCTTGGTCTACAGTATGTAGACAGATTACCTGCACTCTCTTGTATATTGTTCTTTGGGTGACTATTATAAATAATCATATAAAATATGTGTCCTGCATAATATTTTTTCCCCTGCAAAATAACCCCCAAACCAACACAACCTAGTTTTGAAATTCTGTATCATTTTTATTGTTCTCTATGCTGTTTTGTTTATGTGTTTTTATTATTTCAAGTTGTTTTTCTTTCCTCTTTAAAATGAAAAACAAAATTTATGTGTACATACAAGGATAGCTGGGATAGGTGTATTGCTGATGTCTGTGGTTTATTGAAATGAATAGTCAATGCTTAACATTTTCTTTATTCTTGACCGATTTTGCACGCTTGAATCTGGTAATCAGAACGACTGATCTGAAAACAACAATATGCAGTATAAGAACCATTGTTGAACTCCTACCATCTTGTATGATGAAGCTCTGCATCATTTCCAATGTTTTTTTTAACTTCTTGTTACTATCTTTGATTGTTTGATCAATCTTACAGTCTTGTGTCTGGTGGACTGAGCAACTTGGTTGAAGATAACAGTATGTAATGCAGCAACAATTGTTAATTCCTATCATTTAGTTTTGAGATCATGTATTGTTTTTGTGTTGTTTTGATTTTGTCTTCATTGTTGTTTTGTGAGTTTTTTTATCTTTAAAATTAAAAAATAAAGTGAAAAAAAAATATTAATAACAGACAAAAACAATAAAGACGACACAGGATTTCAAAATAAGATGATAGGAATTATCAATAGTTATTATATTTTGAGGTCCTGCCAAATGAGTTGCATGCTTACTAATGAATTATATTTCTCAACTGAATATGCAATAGATGATAGGAGAGGAGAGGAACAAAAGATGTTTAATATCTAAAACTCCCATATGCTAGAGGCAGAGTGGGACCGTTGACAGTAAGATTTGGAAACACTGGAATTTCATTATTTTCAGGAAATACTTTTATTTAGATCTGCTCCAAAGAGTAAGCATCAACAGATTTAGGATTAAATCTTGCACAAAATCTATTTTCCTGAATAAAATATTTAGTCTAATCTGTATTACTGAGCTTTGGGCCTTCACAATGCAGATCCATGAAACAGGCCTGCATGAGATATTGTTATGGGCTCTGGGCTTCCAGTTGAATTCATAAGAAGCATGTCATCTAGTTGAAGTTTATAATCATCAATTTACAAGATAAAGCATGGAATTATTTTAACATGCACTATCAAAAATATATACTAGGCAAGATTTGATTCAAAAATTTAGACGATGACATTGTTCTCTGCCAGAAGCCAAGTCTGAGTTCAGCCTATACGCTGTTCAAGCTCAATTTCATGATCACAGGTGGAATCCTGTCTTTCTGACCTGGCATGACACATGGTCCAGTATCTGGCACATCTCTGTCTGCTCCCCAATGAGAGATGAATACAGCAATGCCTAATGGAAGCCATAGAAAAATAGAAGCTCTAGCAACCAGACCAAGAAGCCAGCCTAGATATTATAGGAAGTCAAAAAATAACTCCTCTGTTATTGGGCCCCAAACAACCTTGCTGGACACTCTCTGAAGAAATAGCCTCTGCTCACTCTGCTTTGGGCGGTCTGCATTTATTTCCATACCACTAAGCTCTTCTAACTCTGCCATCTCTTCCACACAGCTGTAGCCACCAAGGAATCCACTCAGCACACTACACCAAAGCCACCAAAGCGCATTCCGGGGACACATCATAGGCCCAGGTAGTTTGAAAAGCAATCAGCCTCTTAATTAAAAAATATACACTATGAATCATCTCCAGGTTGTCTTAGGCATGGAGTCGGCACCTTCAGAAGTTCCCCCAGGCTGCACAGGAAAGACACATGAGGAGAGATTTGAAACTTCCCTCAGCTAGGACCATGCTAGTCTGGGAACT